CCCCCCCCCCCCCGCTCGCCCTGGAAGCGTTCCGTCTACAGACTAGATCATGACCAACAGCACCAGAAAAAGAAAAAGAAACAAGACAACCTGCAACGAAATACGAACATTGTCCAAATAGCGCATGCAATAGCTTCCGCACCACCCTCTAGCCCTCCCCATCATAACCCAAGCCACAGCGTTTTCTGTAATTTACCCTGCCTCCAGAGGGATATGCATGCCCCGCGCAAAACAACATGGCGTTATTGTATCTGACCATAAACAAAAAAAAATATATGTATCTTCAATTAACACAAACGCCGCTCATTAATCTATAGGTTATTCGTATATATGCAAAATGCGAAAATGCTTTGGCTTCATCTAACGGTTTAAGCCTTCTTCTCCACGTTTATCGACAAGCTGGGGACGTCGAATGTTACTGTCGTGTTGACGGAGTATGCTTCTGTTCCCCAGGACATGTAACCGATGTAGTAGGACGACGTGGGATAATTCGCGTTATCCATGGAGAGAATCTCTTCGACTAATGGATAGAGATCGCCATCGAACTTTTCGGTGGGCTCGTCGACATACCACGTCAGAACCTTTTGCTTGGCCTGATTGGTACCGTAGTAAAGTTTGCTGATCATATTAATTAGCATCGCATGCATCTTCCCTGCGCGAGAAAGCTTGACTTACAATTCTGTGCCATGGAGAGTCTTTGTCGCAAGGGGATTCGCTCCGTTAACGTTGAAGCCGATGGGTTGTGTCGCAGACCCGATAGCAGCAAACCACACCATGATTTCGTGCGAGGCGTCAGCACTGTCCTGCGACTTCTTCTGATCGCTGTCCATGAACATATCCATAGCGACGTTGGCATTGAGCAGGTTCTTCTTCATCGCGGAGAGATCTGTCTTTGTAGCTTGCGTAGCACCCTTTGCGGAACCGTTGCCGAGAGCGTATGTCCACTCAAAGTCGATCTCGATCTTGTCAATGGTGTTGAGCTTGGCGGGGAAGACGTCGCCGTCGACTTTGATGTTGGGGAAGGCGTGGACAGGAGCGGTTTCGGGACCTTGAGGGTATTCCCATACTACAGACCATCGAGGCGCGGTTGTCTTTGTAGCGTACGTTTCATTGTTGTTGATGTCGACCTGTTATGGTCAGTATCGGATGGGAGAGCTTGGTGTCGCATGATGCCATGGCATGATGTGCATCATGAGGAGGTATCATGATAGAGAAGTAGAGGATAGACTTACATATAAACATAAACCTCCGTCATCGCCTTCGTTCCAACCCCACTGATTAGGATTGACTGCACGACAGTTAGCAAAGGTACAATCGTTACACAAGACTCGATCCCATCCCGAGTTACACACTGCAACTCAATAGCTGGCTTGTACTCACGTGTGTATTCTTGGCCCTTGGTGTCAGGATGTATACCATAAGACTTTTGACAATGCTGTTCCGTCGTAATGCCATTCTTCTTCTTTGGCGCTGTCGGTTTCGGATCTGGCTTGAACAAAGGCGGTCCACCCGATGCCTCACGCGAACTGTTAAGACCGATCAACACACCCAGCGTGATGGCGATGGGAAGGGCCAAAAGGCCAAAATTGACGAGGAACCTGATCGTCATGATTCCTTGCTGGTGTTTTCTTGAAGCAAAAGAAGAGAAAGAAAAGAATTGATTGACCTCCAAACAATGGAGGAGGGAAAAACGAACAAGCTTTTGCAACTGCGTAGACGTTATCATTCGCACAGGCTCGTTATCCCCAAATTGGCTTGCCAGCCAATGCAATGCACACTCCCCCCTCCCTTGCATATGCGGAGTGGCCTGTGGAAATGCCGACATGCCAATCACGCAGCGCAGTGGGCAAGCTGATAGCACGCTCACAGCTGAAAGTGCCCCTGATCTAAACCCGGGATTGACCCCTGCGCAGCGATACGAAGGGGGGCGTTGTGTTAGTGTACACTGTTAGTTGTTCCTGGATTAGTATGGTGTAGTGTATGTAGTGTCACGGCATGCTCGGGTGGTTCGCTCGTGTTAATGGGCTGGGAGCTTGTTTATTCCAAGAATCAACCAATCCTGATCAATTCTCTCTCTCACTGCACATACTTTGCAGAGACTGGGACTGGGGCACATTAGCACCCAAACTCAAATCAACACACCCCCATCCATCGGATCTGCCTCTTGTCTCTATGTACTCTCCTCCTCTCTCTCTCCCTTGTTTTTTTCTTCTTCCTTCTACCACAGTCAATCATCTCTCGTTTTCTTGAGCTCTTGGTGTTTCTTTTCCTTTTCATATACTTCCATCGTTTGCAAAAGTACCAGTCACTCGTTAACACAGTAAACAACAACAACACCCAAGGTTCGCCAAGATACGCCATTGACTTAATCGGCTTGCATACTGCACCTACTTTTTTCGTACCACGTTGTTTGTGCCTGTGGAACCTAAACGCATGCGTCTCACCCGTCCAGAGTCAAGATGAACGGGCATCATGGCTATGCAGAGGGGGACCAGGAGAGGGAGTATAGAGAGATGGTAGAGATTGACGTGCAGCGTCAACATCAGCAACAGCATGAGCAGAGGCAGTATCAGCAGCAGGAGTATTTCCAAGGGCAAGACCTCCACTCTCCATACGGTCCCCCAGAGCAGCAATACACGCCGTATTCGCCCTATCAATCTTCAACAGAAGAGTTTCAGGGCCAGGGCCGCTCTGTCACTGAGCAGGGACGACCCGCTAGGCCCTCACCAGCGCACTTTGACGATTACAGTCCAGCGCCTGAATGGCCTCCGCACATTTCCAATAGCCCTGGGCAGTACTTCAACGACACACCGGGTGGTTCACGCTCTGCATCGCCGACACTGCGAAGCGGCAGAGAAACACCGGCTTCTCGTCTGCATCACCACCCGGGCAATTCGTCCGTCGACTGGAGACCATCCAGCCTAATGGTCAGCTCCCGCACCCTCGTCAACAAATCGTCCAACGTCACTGACTCCGTCAAACAGAACCAGAGCCACCTGAGTCTCGCTGCGCTTCTGCCCGGCGGGAATTCGCCTCACAGCAGCAGCGCAAACACACTTTATAACAAGGATTATATCGTTGACAGCAGCACTATTCAGCATGTCCATAAGCGCGACGACGCTGAGATTTGGGGAGGTTGGAAGCGATGGGTGTTTAGGCTCGTTCCCTTTCTCACGTTTGCGAATACTGGTCTCTACATGGCGTATCTTGCGCTGAGAATTGCTTGTGTTATTTGGGCGCAGAATGCGGCGGATACGACGTATGCCGGTGCGTGGATCTTCATCGGTGTTGAGATTGCAACAGCGATTCCGTCATTGATGCATAATACGTGGACAATGTGGTCGATGAAGAAGCGAAACCGCCCGAAGCTGAGGTTGACTGGCAACGATGTGCCAACTGTCGATGCCTTCATTACTTGCTGTGGTGAAGACGATGATCTGGTGATGGATACGGTGCGAGCTGCGTGTGATCTGGACTACCCCCAGGATCGATACAGAGTCATTCTGCTCGACGATGGAAAGTCTGCTGGTCTGCAAGAAGCATGTGCGAAGCTGTCCATGATATACCCCAACCTGTACTACATGGCTCGAGTCAAGATTCCTGGTCAACCTCATCACTTCAAGGCAGGTAACCTGAACTATGGTCTCGACGAGGTGCACAAGCTGCCTGGAGGTGCTGGTCAGTTCATGGCAGCTCTGGATGCTGATATGGTAAGCTATTCCCACACATTGACCAACGACATACTTACAATTGCAGATTCCCGAGCGTGACTGGCTCCGTGCTATTCTTCCTCACATGCTCATCGACCCCAAGATGGCTCTCGCATGCCCTCCTCAGCTGTTCTACAACACCCCTCCCTCGGATCCTCTCGCTCAAAGTCTCGATTTCTTCGTCCACGTTATTGAGCCCATCAAGGATGCTCTAGGTGTCGCTTGGTGCACTGGATCAGGCTACGTCGCTCGACGTGAGGCTCTCGACGAGATTGGTAACTTCCCTCTTGGATCTCTGGCTGAGGATGTCGCTACATCGACTATGATGCTTGGTAAGGGCTGGAAGACGGCTTTCATTCACGAACCTCTGCAGTTTGGTACTGTTCCCGAAGACTATGGCGGCCATCTTAAGCAGCGAACACGATGGGCTATTGGAACAGTCGATACTTCCTTCAAGCTGAACTTTTGTCTTTGGGGCGACAAGGTTCGCCAAATGACCACCGCTCAGCGATTCTCAGGATTCTTGTACGCCTCGCTGAGCTTGTACACCATTCTGCTCACCATTTCGCTTTTCGCCATTCCGATTATCCTGATCATGCAGAAGCCTCTTGTCGCGTATGCTACCGATGAGCAGCTCCGATGGTTGATCCGCGCGTGCTTCGCATCCGTCATCTCCAACCGTCTTTGCGAGTTTGCTCTCTTTATTCCCGCAGGTTACCACACCGGTCAGCGAGGTTCGCGATACCAGCTCTGGATGTCTCCTTACATCGCACTCTGCCTCATCCGATCGTTCATCCTGCCAACATGGCTCGGCGGTCAAACGCAAGCCTTCAAGCCAACAGGTTCGCTCGGCTCAGCCCTGAACGAGCGCGACGCCAAACTCCGAAAGAACATGTTCCGACGACTCTGGGGCATTCTCATCAACTACATGGCTCTTTTCCACTTCGCTTTTGTGTACCTGACCCTCGTCGCTGTGGTCCTCACATCGTTCCGATCATTCGTCACGACTCACACCGTCCGCGACACACTCACCGCCCTTCTCACCCACGCATTCTGGCCACCTCTCACTTTCCTCTTCATCTGCAGTTCGCTCTGGACACCGATCTCGTACGCGATTGACCCGCCGGCCATGCCTGACCGGGAGGACTTGCTGAACCGAGATCCAAAGACGCAGGTGGCGCACCCCACGACCCAGAGCAAGAAGATTGCGTTTGGCGGTCAGGCTGCATGGTTCGAGTTGGAATACACGACTACTACTATTTATACATGCCTGGTCTTTGTGTGCTCATTCATTTTCTAGAAATGAGATGGGGGCATAATAACGAAATGAACTGTTACGATAATGTACGAGGGGCTGATGCATACGAGCGAGGGAGGGAGCCCATGGTTTCGTGGATGAGATGAACAGGCGCAAAGACCAATTGGCAAGGGTACTACTCATTGTTTGTTACTGGACTGGATTTTTTTACATGGTATAGTACATAGTGCACGCATCGCATTAAACATAAAGATAGAGATCAGCCCTTAAGCGGCATACGAATAATAGAATGGCATCAATTATCACATGAACCTCGGGGAGCGATGACCGTTGACGAGTGAGACTGGGAAATGTACTCCGTAGAGCTAATAACATAAGCGTGATAAAGGCCTCATACCAGTAAAGGCAGTTTGACGCCTAAACAAAGCATTTGACGCATGTAGAGACGATGATGAATGCTGAGGTAAGAGAGTTTGAGGTCACAAGCTGGGATCTCGGAATACCAATCAAAGGCCTCATGAGTTTGAAGTTAAAGCAAAAGTCTCGTGAGTTTTTCGTCAACTTGCATAAGGTTTATCTTGAAGTCGTGTTGCATCCCAAAGTTGCCGATATTGTCGCATTTATGACCTCGGCCGCGTTTGCGTTGGTTACCGCGTCTCACAATTGCCTCTACTCTATAGCTGAGCTTGGAGGCTCACTTTCCACGCATGAAGCATGAAGCATTGAATCAGTGTCAACATGTGAAACCTTGACTCGAACAGGCTTGACTCAAGAAGAGGCGCTTAACCTTGGCCCCAGTCCACAAAAAGCTCCCTTGGTCCGTCTACGCGACTCAATCAGCGGCACCACAAAAGAGAGAGAGAGAGAGAGAGAGAGAAAATCTCGCAATTTGTTAGCGGAACAACTCTTGTTCCAGAAGCATTCTCTGCGGCGCTCTAAATAACGTGACCATTCAGCCACTCACGAAAGGTCAGACCCTTATCTGCGAGTTGAGTTTGGGTGTGCTCCACTCTCTTCAGGAACCCAAGACAAGCATGTGAGATTAGATCTTCTCTTCTCGAAATTGCCTCTTCTCTTCTCTCTACTCGAAGATTTAGCCTTTCGTATCAGAAAAAGAGGCGATCTCTCACCGCAATTGAAAGAGCCCTCAACAAAACTGTACCTAGCACTGTATAGCAAAGCAAAGCAGCAAGGCTCCCTTGCAACAAAAGAACCCACTCAGTTAACCTCTCTCTGTGCTAAGCTAAGCTCACTTCAACAGCTTAAGGGTCCTTTTCGCCTGCTCCACATCGTGAACACGTCTCCCTCAACTCTCCATGATCTCCCGCACATCGTGGGGCCGTGATTGGCCTGCCACGAGTCCAAGTTCTGGACCCCTATTCATGGGTCCCTGAAGTTTTTGGGCGGTCTCTCTAGATTCTCAAGAAAGTTTTTTTTTTTTTTTTTTTTCGTATCCATGCTATTTCGGATTAGGTCAAGAGCCGTAATCCTGAGACGAGGTCTGGTATCGGTCGGTACCTTTTAGCTAGGTAGGAATAAATAATAAGAGAGCTTTGTTGGGGCGGGAACCTTTTTCTTCTCCCCGTCACCCCCCGCCTCTCGGTCTCTTCTTCCTCTCCTCCTCTTTTAAACTTTCTTCCT